TAGTAGGCCAAAGTAGCCCTACTAGTACGCCCCCGCCAGCCCCCCGAAGCCCGTACTAGTAGGGCTACTTCGACCCTACTAGTAGCCCCGCCGGGGGGGACTTTCGAGCATGTCTCGAGCGGGAGCCCCCTCCGCCGGTCGTACTAGTAGGCCAAAGTATCCCTACTAGTACGCCCCCGCCAGCTCTCCTGGGCCGTACGAGTACGCCAGAGTAGCCCGACTAGTAGCCCCGCCGGGGCGGACTTTCGAGGATGTCTCGAGCGAGGGGCCTCTCCGCCGGTCGTACTAGTAGGCCAAAGTAGCCCTACTAGTACGCCCCCGCCAGCCCCCCGGGGCCCGTACTAGTAGGGCTACTTCGTCCCTACTAGTAGCCCCGCCGGGGGGGACTTTCGAGCATGTCTCGAGCGGGGAGCCCCTCCGCCGGTCGTGCTAGTAGGCCTAAGTAGCCCTACTAGTACGCCCCCGCCAGCTCTCCTGGGCCGTACGAGTACGCCAGAGTAGCCCTACTAGTGGCCACGCCGGGACGGGTTTCCGAGAATGTTTCGAGCGGGATTCCCTTCCGCCGACCGTACTAGTAGTAGGCTCAAGTGGCTCTACTAGAATACTCCAGCCTAAACCCTCCTACCCATTCCCTCTGCTCTCTCCTCCCTCTCTCTCTGTCTCTCTCTCTCTCTGTCTCTCTCTCTCTCTCTCTGTGTATTCCTCAGAACCATCTCTATCGGGGAGCTCATACTGGAACCAGCAACCCCGCCATAAAATAAAAATGTTGCTGAGAAGCCCCTCCCACTCGCCATACCCGCTTGCGCGCGTCGCCGAGAGCCGGACCATGCGGACGCCTCATATACACTGGAAGATTATCCGAGGGAACTCTCGCCATGCCGGCAATCAAATCCGTGATTCCAGAGCCTCAATGCACCTACGAATGAGAAAGAACCCTGCTTCCCGAACGCCTGATACCTTCCGCCTCCTGCCGCCCCACTCATCGTGCCTTTCCCTAGTCCCTCATACCCTCTCCTACTCCTCTTACCTCTTCCTGCCTCCTGGGCTCTCGCCCTCTCGTTCATCCTCGCTTGCCGAGGCGACCGAAACACCGCACATGAGCAAAGCCATCCTCTCTCCTCCTTCCCTCCTCCTTCGAACTCTTCTCCTCCCCCCTTCCCTGTGGTTACCCTCCGTGCGGTGCAGCACAAGCGTCGTAGCTCTGAGGGCGCAGGAGGTCCACAGAGACCCCTGCTCGGATTAGAACTCGCCGGAGCGACTCCTATGGGAGGGAATTCCACTGGGAACTCGAAGAGACTAAAAGGACTGACAGAAACTAAAAGGGACTAAAAGGAACTAAAAGGGACTCAAAGGGACTGAAGAGCTTAAAGGCTGCAATCGTACAGAAGGGACGGAAAGGACTGAAAGGGACTAAAAGGGTCTCAAGGGACTAAAAGGGACTAAAAGGGACTCAAAGGGACTGAAGAGCTTAAAGGCTGCAATCGTACAGAAGGGACGGAAAGGACTGAAAGGGACTAAAAGGGTCTCAAGGAACTAAAGGGACTAAAAGGGACTCAAAGAGACTCAAAGGGACTAGAAGGGACCAAGAGAGACCAAAAGGGAGCACATGGCACGAAAGAGACTGGAAGCAGCTAAAAGGCGACAATCGTACTGAAGAGACGGAGGGGAACTGAAAGGGACAAAAAGGGACTAACAGAGACCAAAGGGACTGATAGAACCAAAGGGAACTAAAAGAGAGTAAAAACAAAAGTAAAAGAGACAAAAAGACACCGGAGGGCGTCAAAGGAGCTAAAACGCTACCATTATACCGAACGGACGGAAAGGGACTGAAAAAGACGAAAAGCGACAAAAAGGGACTAAATGGACTACAAAATACTAAAAGGGACTAAAAGGGACTAACAGGCACTACAGGACTTGAAAGGAGCTTAAAGGCTACAATCCTACTGAAGGGACGGAAAGGGACTCAAAGGTACGAAAAGAGACTAAAGGGATAACAAGAAACTCAAAGAGACTAAGAGGGACCAAAAGGCATTACGTGGTACGAAAGACACTGAAAGGAGCTAAAAGGCGACAATCGTACTGAAGAGACGGAAGGAGACTGAAAGGGACTACAAGGGACTAAGAAAGACTAAAGGGACGAAGCGAACCAAAAGGAACTAAAAGGGACTAACAAGAAAGTAAAAGGGACAAAAAGACACCGAAGGCCTCAAAGGAGCCAAAAGGCTACCATTATACTGAAGGGACGGTAAGGGATTGACAGGGACTAGAAGCGACTAAAAGGGACTCTAAAGGGACGAAGCGAACCAAAAGGAACTAAAAGGGACTAACAAGAAAGTAAAAGGGACAAAAAGACACCGAAGGCCTCAAAGGAGCCAAAAGGCTACCATTATACTGAAGGGACGGTAAGGGATTGACAGGGACTAGAAGCGACTAAAAGGGACTGAACGAACTACAAAAGACTACAAGGAACGAAAAGGGACTACAAGGGACTAAGAGGCACTACAGGGATTGAAATGAGCTTGAAGGCTACAACCCTTCTGAAAAGACGGAAGGAAACTGAACGGCACTAAAAGGGACTAAAGGGACTAAAAGGGAGTCAATAAAACTACAAGCGAAGAAGAGGAACCAAAAGGGACTACAAGGCACGAAAGAAACTGAAAGGCTACAATCATACTGAAGGAGCGGAAAGGGATTCAAAGGGACTACAAGGAACTAAAAGGGACTACAGGGACTAAAAGAGACTCAGAGGGACTATAAGAAACTGAAAGGAAGTGAACCGAAGACAACGAACTCGAAGGCTGCACAAGGGCGAAAGAGACATACGAGAGACTGGAGCAACCTAAAACTATGAAGAAGGGACTGAACCAACAAAAAAAGACTAAGGGGAATCAGACCGACGGAAGACGGAAAGGGATAACAGGGCGGCGGCGGCAGCGACGACGACGACGTCCACGCTGACGGCGACGACGACGACGACCGCAGCAGCGCCGAAGCCGAGGATGGCAGCGGCGGCGGAGCCGGCTACGCCGACGCCGACGACGACGACGACGACGCCGCCGACGACGACGACGACGACGACGAACGGCGTCGGCGACAGCGATGGCGACGACGACTTCGGCCGAAATCCGCTCGAAATAAATTCCCGGATCTCTCTCGGGGTCCCTCCCGACGCAGTTGCTTACCCCAGATCGATCTGCAGCGACCCCGAGACCCGAAAACCGCCCCCGGAGGCCGAAAACGCGGAAAATCTCCCCGATCCCTGAAGATCGAGAATCGAAGTTCGACAGATGGCCACGTTCTCGATCGCAGTTTTTCAACCCGGCTCGACTTCCAGAGGCCCCGGGAACCGAAGGCGGCCCCCTGGGGCCGAACCCGCCGAGAAACCTCCCCGAGCCCCGCAATTCGAAAATCAAAGTTTTTCAATACGGGGTCCCCGGTGGTCTCCCGAGGTCCCGAAAACTTCCCCAGGTTTTCCGTCCTGAGTCACATTCTAATGATCCTAGGGCCCGTTGAAGGCTTACGAAGGCCGACAATTGCGAAAACCGATGTACTAGACAAATCCGCCGACCCCTTGGGTCTCATCGGCGTGTCAGATGCTCCCCCTCTCCGTGAACCCCTCCCTGGGGGCCTCGTCTGGTCGATCAGGAGGGGAAGCGCCCGGCCAGCTGGCGTACACGCGCCATGAGACAACACAGAGCTCCACGACGAGCCAAAAAGGCCCCAAGAGGCTCCCGAGCCGGTCCAAGAAGCCCCGAGTCGCCGAAACATCGTTTCAAGACGCCCAGGATGGCCTCCAGACGGCCAAAGATGCTTCCAAGACGTGACCCTACGAGTACGGCGGCGGTGCGCGGCTCGGGCGTACGAGTGGGGCTGCGTACGGCTACTAGTACGACTGCGACGTGCACGGCCGAGCGTACGAGTACGGCTACGTACCGGTACGAGTACGACTGGAGGGGGCGTACGAGTTCGGCGACGTGGGCCTACTAGTACGGCAGCAGAATGCAAGGACGGCCGTACTAGTACAGCTACGTACGCCTACTAATACGGCAGCGGTGTGCCAGGTCGGGCGTACGAGTACGGCTACGTACGGCTACGAGGACGACTGCGACGTGCCCGGCCGAGTGTACGAGTAGGGCCACGTACGCGTACTAGTACGACCGGAGCGGGCGTACTAGTACGGCTACGTAGCCCTACTAGTACGCCTGCGGCGTGCACGGCCGAGCGTACGAGTACGGCTACGTACGGCTACTAATACGCCTGTGGCGTGCACAGCCGAGCGTACTAGTACGGCTACGTAGGCCTACTAGTACGCCTGCGGCGTGCACAGCCGAGCGTACGAGTACGGCTACGTACGGCTACTAATACGCCTGCGGCATGCACGGCCGAGCGTACTAGTACGGCTACGTACGGGTACTAGTACGCCTGCGGCGTGCACGGCCGAGCGTACGAGTACGGCTACGTACGGGTACTAGTACGCCTGCGGCATGCACGGCCGAGCGTACGAGTACGGCTACGTACGGCTACTAGTACGCCTGCGGTATGCACGGCCGAGCGTACGAGTACGGCTACGTACGGCTACTAGTACGCCCCGCGGTCGTACTAGTAGGACGAAGTAGGCCTACTAGTACGACGACCGGGCAAAGCAAGCCTATTCTGGGAGGAGGAGGAGGAGGAGGAGGAGGAGGAGGAGGAGGAGGAGGAGGAGGAGGAGGAGGAGGAGGAGGAGGAGGAGGAGGAGGACAAGACGAGGCTGACGCTGCCAGCGCGTGTTTGCGCGCGTGCCTCTCGCCATCGCTCGGACGTCCATTCCCCGTGCACGTTTCGACTTCGTGCGCTGAGGTTTCGCACGATGACCCAATCTGCTCCTCGGTCGTCGCCGAGAAAAAATACACACGTCCGACCGCTGCCAAGGCCTAGCAGCCTGCCTCACACGAAGGCGGCAGGCGGGGGGCGGCAGCCATCGCCGGGCCGCGGCGCCGGCCCGCACCGCCCGGCGGCGCGGGTCCTCGACGGGCCCCTGCCGCCGAGCGCCAGGACGCTGGCGCGCTCCTCCCAGACGTCCGCCTGGGGGCAGCCCGCTCCGTCTGCCGCGGCCCTCCTCTTGCCCTGTGGCGCGGCGCCAGAGCCCGGTGCCGCTGGGCGTTCGCTGGCGGGCCAGCGGACACTGTGAGAGGGATAGCTTTTTGCAGGGGCTCCGTGGCACTGCCAGCGACACAGCCCGGGCCGAGGGGTCGCCCAGTAGGGTCTTCCCCTCCCCCTCCTCCTCCTCCTCCTCCTCCTCCACCTTCTCCTCCTCCTCCTCCTCCTCCCCTCCTCCTCCTCCTCCTCCTCCTCCTCCTCCTCCTCCTCCTCCTCCTCCTCCTCATCATCATCATCATCATCATCATCATCATCATCATCATCATCACCATCCTTTGCTCCTGGTTCATCGAACGCTTCTCCGCCACTCCTGCATCTCTTCTCCTCCTCCTGGGTTTCACGAACGGTCCTCCTCCTTTTCGTCTTCCTCCTCTTCCTGGTTCTTCGAGCAGCCCTGTGGCGCAGCGCCAGCGCCCAGTGCCGCTGGGCGGCGCCCGGTGCCGCTGGGCGTTCGCTGGCGGGCCAGCGGACACTGTGAAAGGAATAGCTTTTTGTAGGGGCTACGTGGCACTGCCAGAGGGTCTTCCCCTCCTCCTCCCCCTCCTCCTCCTCCTCCTCGTCATCATCATCATTCTCCTCCTCCTTTGCTCTTGGTTCATCGAAAACTCCTCCGCCACTCCTACATCTCTTCTCCTCCTCCTGGGTTCCACGAACGGTCCTCCTCCTTTTCGTCTTCCTCCTCTTCCTGGTTCTCTGAGCAGCCGTTCTCCTCCTCCTCCTCCTCCTCCTCCTCCTCCTCCTCCTCCTCCTCCTCCTCCTCCTCCTCCTCCTCCTCCTCCTCCTCCTCCTCCTCCCCCTCCCCCTCCTCCTCCTACTCTTCTTCTTCTCCTCCTCCTGGCATCTCGGTCCTCCAGGTTCGAGGAGCCAGCTCTTCTGTAACGGACCGTTTCGTGCGCTTCCTGCGCTTCGCTCGGGGGTCCCGACTGCATTTTGCCCGCCGCCCATCCGATGACGGCGTGCCTGCTTCGGCAGCTCGCACAGCCTGGGAACACAATGGCTTCCGGAGCCCGAGGCCGCACGCGCGCTCTTCGAGGCGTAGATCCTCTCTACGTCTGGGGCCTCCTCCTCTCTGCGGCCGCCCTCCTCTCTCCCACCTGTCTCGGTGTGCCCCTGTCGGCCGTGGCTCGGTGAGGGGGCGACGCAGCCTCCTCCTCGGCCTCCTCCTCCTCCTCCTCCTCCTCCTCCTCCTCCTTCTCCGCCTCCTCCTCCTCCTCCTCCTCCTCCTCCTCCTCCTCCTCCTCCTCCGCCCTCTCCTCCTCCCCCTCCTCCTCCTCCTCCTCCTCCTCCTCCTCCTTCTTCTCCTCCTCCCTCCTCTAGTGCACCTTCTGGGCCCCAGAGGGCCCCCAGAAGGTCCCGGGAGGAGCACGAGCGGCGCGCATCTCTTCTTCCCCGAAGCAGCCCAGGCACACACAAACAAATACACACAGATCCCAGGATCCCCCTGTAGCTTCCTATATTTTCAGGGTTTTTGCACCCCCCCCCACTGCCCATGCTTTCTTTTCTTTTCCGGGGGTCGACGATGAATTATGTCTGCGTGTTTTTTCCCCTCCTGATTCCCCCCCCCCCCCAGTGTATTATATCGCCCGCCCCTGGCAGCTCCGCGGCGGCTTCCGCCGAGTGAGCGCTCTGCCTCCCCTTCCCCCCGCCCCGCGGCCGCCCCCCACCTCTTTTTCTTTCCTCCCGCCCTGGCCGCCAGACAATTTAGCGCCTGCCTCCACCAGGCCCCGCCCGAGCGCGCGTGCGGACTGCCTCTGCCACGCCGGTGCGTCAAACACAGATCCCCCCCCCCCCCAGAGGCCTCCTGGATGTGGTCCGAGTAGGTGGGGACGAAGGATCGCGCCGCATCGCCGATGCATCGCCGTCGTATCGGCGATGCATCGGCGACGTCGGTGATGCATCGGCGACGTCGGCGTGGCGAAGCACGGGCTCCACATCGAGCCGCATCGTGGATGCATCGGCGATGCGGCGCGATCCTCCGACCCCATCTGCTCGGACCCCATCTGGGAGGCCTAGATCCCCCCCCTGCGCAACGCCCGACCACAGCCCAGCGCGGCCCACCGGCGACTCGAACGCGCCAGCGTCCGCTCTCGCCCGAGGCGGTGCCGCCGAGGGAGTGCCGAGCAGGCGAGGCCGCGGCACGGGGCAGCAGGGGAAGGGCGGAACGAGGGGAAGGGCACGACGATGCGCGAGGAGAGCCGACAGTCCTCCTCGCACCCGGGCCCCCTCCCGCATGGACACCTCTTCCACCGCGCCCTCCCCCTCATCCTCCCCATCGCTCCTCCTCCTCCTCCTCCTCCTCCTCCTCCTCCTCCTCTCCCTTTCTCCTCCTCCTCCTCCTCCTCCTCCTCTCCCTTTTTCCTCCTCCTCCTCTCCCTTTCTCCTCCTCCTCTTCTCCCTTTCTCCTCCTTCCGGGAGCACCAGAGAGGGAGGCGAGGCAGGAAGAGCGGGCGAAAGAACGCTGCGTGAGCGGAGCCGCTGCCGCTCCCATAGGGGCCGCCTGGGGCGGGGGGGCCGACGGGGAGGAGACGGAGGAGGAGGAGGAGGAGGAGGAGGAGGAGGAGGAGGAGGAGGAGGAGAGAGGAGGAGGAGGAGGAGGAGGAGGAGGAGGAGGAGGAGGAGGAGGAGGGCGGACGATCAAGGAGGAGGAAGAGGAGGAAGGATGACGAGCGAGGAGGAGGAAGAGGAGGACCCAGGACTCTGGAGGTGCTACTGAACCACCTCTGCCGGGGGCGTGCAACACTCGAGTGCAGGCTGCATGCCAAGAAGCCCACACATTGTGGGATAAGAATGAAGGGCGTCGGCACATGAAGCCGAAGGAGGAGAAGGAGCGGAGGCGAAAGGAGAATGAGGATGAGGACATGATGGCCATGACAGAAGTGGGCCTGGCTCAGGGCGGGAGCAACGATACGGAAACGAGGGTACATCGCCGACAGGCCCCCGATGGGAAAACAACGCGCTGAGGGGGGGGGACACCAGACTCTTGATCGTGCTTCTGCTCCCCCCCTTCCCCCCTCCCCCCCCCCGCCTCCACTCCCTGATCGTCCTGGGAATCCCTCCCCTCCCTGCTGCTCCTCACCCTCCGCGAGGAGGAGGAGGAGGAGGAGGAGGGGGAAGAGGAGGAGGAGGAGGAGGAGGAGGAGGAGGAGGAGGAGGAGGAGGAGGAGGAGGAGGAGGAGAGGAGGAGGAGGAGGAGGAGGAGGAGGAGGAGGAGGAGGAGGAGGAGGAGGAGGAGGAGGAGCTCCTCCCCCTTCCTTTCGCGCACGCGCCAACCCCCCACATCGCACGCACCAGGGACAGCGCCACCATGCCGGTCCGACTCCCCCGTGCCTGGCCCGCACCGCCCTGGAGAGGGCAGACGGAGATGAAGCCGATCGCACGCTCTGGGTGAAGCCGCTTATCGTGTGATATGGCTGCCCCTGGCGACAGAGCGGCGGCGAGCGAGGGGGGGAAGTGAGAAGGAGAAGGCCTTCTCAGAAGGCGGCGGGACTTCTCCGAAGTCCTCATGCCTGCTGAGAGGTTGTTTTTATGTCCTCGGGAAGGCTGCGAAACCTTCTCAGAAGCCCTCGCTCCCTGTGGTCGGGGGCTCTGCCCGTTTCCGTGCGCACGGATCTCTCATGACTCCTTTCCGCCCGAATGGCTTCGACGGGCAACCACCTTCGTATTCGACCGTGGGCCCCTTGCTTGAGGGGCAACGATGGGGGGGGACTGACACAGGAGGGGATGCATCGACCTGGAATCGGCCATACATCGCCGATAGATCGGCGATAGGCCTCCGATCGTGAATCCGCACCTTCATGGGCAGGTTGGGGCTATCGGACCCCTATCGGCGATCAATGGGCGATTGGGGGTCGATGCATCCCCACCTATGCCTATCCCCCCCTATCGTTGCCCCTGATTGTTACCCATCGGCCTTTGTTGGCGGTCTCCGGCGGTCCTCTGGCGGTCTTTGGCGACTTCTGGCGCGAGATCAGGGCAGTTGCGTTCGACAAAGGGGTCCATGATCGAACACCTAAGGTAAGGTCTGGGGTGAGACCCCGTGGACGACGAGAACAACGGCCTGCAGCGCCAGTTGTGGGGTGAGCCCCCATAAAAGTGTGTGTGTGTGATCCCTCCGTCGTCGCTGTCCCGTCTCCCTCGTATCCCTGGCCTGGCTGAGGCTTTGAGCCGACGTACTGTCCGTAGCCCGCGCGTGCGTGGCGCTTACCGCGCCTGCTCCACAACACTCGTTTGATCTGTTTCTTTCTCGACCCCCCAGAGCGGTGCAGAGACGGACCGTGCGGTGACCTCGAGATCCCAGAAGACCCCACCGCACGGTCGGCCACCACACGACTTTGGGGACCCTGGAGGCCCCGCCACCGCACAATTTTGGGGGTCTCCGAATGCTTGCTTCGGCCCGCCCCTCAATAGAACAAGGCAAAACTCAATAAACATAAACTGTTGGCGCTCCGCGCGGATTTCTTGGACCTGCGCGGAGCGCGCTAGGGGTGCCGCCGAAGGGGCCGCCGGGGGGGCCCAGCGCGGATCCAAGACATCCGCGCCGAGCACCAACAATTTATGTTTATGGCCTTTTTCCCAACCATCCTGCGGTGTTGGGTCCTCGTTTTGAAAAGACAGCGCCCCGCTTTCCTCCTTCTCCGCAATTGGCATGCGTCTCCCCCACCCAGCACAGCGCTTCGTGGCTCCAAAAGGAGCTCCACGTCCCAGTGGCGCAGTTCGCATGCGTCTCCCCCGCCCAGCACATCGCTTCGTGGCCCCATAGGGAGCTCCACCGAAGGTTCCAGTGGCGCAGTTCGCATGCGTCTCCCCCGCCCAACACAACGCTTTGTGGCCCCAGAAGGACCTCCACCAAAGGTCTCGGTGGCGCCGTTCGCATGCGTCTCCTCCGCCCAGCACAGCGCTTCGTGACACCATAGGGAGCTCCACCG